AAAAACTAAAAATACATGTTATTTGCATTTTATAAATTTCTTGTTTATTTTATTTTGGTACTAGGATTATTTTAGAATAATTTTTGGTATTAGGATATTTATAATAAAATAGGGATCATGACTGATTAATATGATTTTGCTCCAGAGTAAATATATAAGGCTCTCATCTTCCTCTCAACCATTTATGTAAATAAAGAAATTTCAGGTAGAGATTCTCCATAATATGAGTTTTGATAAGAGTTTTTCTAATGCAACATTTGAAAATGACTGGGCAGTGATAGAAGAGAGCACCTTTTTTCCAATTCTGGCTTCTTGAAGAGGGATTTTCATTAAACATGATGCTGGCAAAGTCTGCTCCTATTTCTAAACTGGAATAGCCTAATTCATAGGAGTTACCTGGCTGATGAGTTCCAAATTTGATCTACCATTCTCAATGTGATGGGTAATAAGCTCACAGAAATCCCTTACAAGGAAGTCAGTTGCCTTTTGCTCATTGCCCTAGTCAGAAATGATGCCAAAAAGTGTGTTCAATATGAAGACTTAAAATTGTCAGGGACGGACAGCCCCCAAGTTCACTCTGGACTAGTTTTCTTTGGCTAACATATTTGAATCTCATGATCAGCTATGCAATTTGATTTTATATCTAATACAAGGGGCATTTTTGACTTCCATCCTTGTTTTATTTCTTAAATTGATGAAATCTAGCCTGAGAATTAGAATGATGCCTGCTGCCCAGATCATAAATGATTAAATCACCTTAAAAAAATTGTCTCCTCTATTCAAAGAGAATAAAATTTGCTACTAACTAATGATGTGTTACTAGGCGCCATGCTTTAGTGTGTGTGGTTTTCACATACCATGTTGTTTTTTTCTTTCTCTGAACCATCCCTTTGACCATTTCAACACCCCCCCTTTTCTCTTAATCTGAGACACTCCATTTGGTAATACCTGCTAAGATTTTAATAAGTACTTAACTTTGTTGAATTGCCCACTCTGTAAATGTCCTGTATTTGTCTTTGGCACTTTGACTTACTTTACATAATTTTTTAAACTCATTCCATTTTACAGTAAATGCTAACATTTCATCTTTTTTATGAATAATATTCCATAGTATGGATATAACACATCTTCTTGATTCAATCTTCTGGGGATTTATATAGTTATTGTGATTAGTGCTGCCATAAATAGTTCTTTCAGTTGGTAGTTTTATAAGACTCAAATTGCTGGATCATACAGTATTTCTATTTTTAGCTTTTCAAGGTAAATCCAGATCACTTTCCAAAATAGTTGTACCACTTTACATCCCCACCAACAGTCTACTAGGGTAACTCTTTCTCTGCATCCTCTCCAGCACTAATTATTAGCTTTAAAAAAAATGTATGCTATTCTCTTGGGTATGAGGTGATATCTTATTGTGGCTTTCATCTACATCTCTTTTATTAAAGGTGATGATGAGCATTTACCCCCTGTATCTATTGACATTCTGGATACACTTTTTGGTAAATTGCTACCAAATCTTTTAACTCTCTACAGCATAACATGCCTGTTCCTCTTATGTTCACATTACTGGAAACAGAAATATGAAGATGGGGCCTCCCCGGTGGCGCAGCCGTTGAGCGCTGGGTTGTGAACCTGCCCGCGGCCTCTGCGGCGACGGTTCGATCCCCGGCTGCTCCCCGGCCACCGGAGGAGGGTCCCACATGGCGCGCAGACCTCTCCTGCCGCCCGCTGCTCCCCTCAGCAGTGTACTCCGGTCCTTCTGCCTGCTCTGCTCCCCGCTCTGGCTCTGGTGAATTCTCTCACCCTCCCGTGCTTCTGGCTGTACCCAGTGCATGTATAAACAAAACAAACAAACAAATAAATAAACATGCCTCTATAAAATAAAAAAAAAATCTTTAAAAAAAAAAAAAAACAGAAATATGAAGATGTTAGTTACTTGCCAAAGGATATAGTTAGTAAGTGGCAGGGCTGTGACTCAAACTCAATTCTGCCTGAGTATAAAGATGATTATTTTTAAATAATTGTTTACATGGCATTTAACATGAAAAACACAAGAAGATATGGTTAAATCACCATGTCCTTGCTTTTCTATTAGGTGAGAAAAGTTTAAAAAAATTAAAAAGAAGATAAATTGAGGTGTCTATTCAGTTAATAATCTTGTATCTGACCCCCTTTCACTCTCTTGTCCTGCATGCCAATCCAACACTATCAGAAGGTTCCTCTTGCACTTATGAAACTTGCATATACACTCAAATAGAAAATTTGGGCTTTTAGCTATGTATATTCATAATCATCTGAAAATTACTTAAAAAACTTGTAGTAATCATACATCGTATATCAAATTCTATTTAAAAATTAATTTATGCACATTTATTGTGCATAAATTTGATTGCTATACATGGCTGCTTATTTTTGAAGTTTTACTTTTCTGTTTAATCTTCCCATTTCTCTTTCTGCACCACTCTATAGAATAACCCCACTACATACACACACAAAACAAAAGACTGGCTAGAATCCAGTGCTCTTCTCCATACTTACATGTTTGTATAAAATATGTAGAACTTGTAACTTGAGTTTAGATAAATCAGGTTATAAGACTTCAACTTTATAAGGGGTTTTATTTACCACCCCTCTTTGTCTTCCAAAGTTTTTTTTTTATTGTTTAAAAAGATCCTTAAGGATTTCCTTTGCTTCAGGAACAGATGGGCACCATCACACAAGAGCCACCCACAGAAAGCTTTAGAGTTAATGCATGTTGTGGCGAGTTTTCCATTTGATATCTTACAGTTTGTAAATTCATAGCAATAAAAATATTGTGCAACATGCATCCCATGATGTCATTTCTTTTGTTCATTGTGGTATCATTTGCATTCTTTTCATGGGTTTCTTTAATCGTAACTCTTTTTTATTCATTAAAGGTCAAGTTATATAAACTATTTATAGATACACTTTTTTTTTTTGCTTGAGCATGGCTAAAAATATGCATACTGGTCACAAAAGAATTTAAAAAGAAGTGTTAGACAATGAAAAAATAGCTAATGGATTTATAGGATCATTCAGGTTTTCTTTGATTTTAATTTTGTAAATTATATTTTTCTAGTGATATTTTCATTTCAATTTTTGACATGGAGATTTTTTTTGTAAATAACATCTTTTAAATGTCTGATATCCAATATTTTTTGACTAGTTTCTGTCTATAAAAAATTGTTTTAGGGCCTCCCCTGGTGGTGCAGCAGTTGAGTGCTGGGCTGCAGAAGCTGCCTGCAGCCTCTGCAGCGCCGGTTCGATCCCAGGCAGCCAGCGAGGGTCCCTCGTAGCTCGGCAGACCTCTCCTGCCTTGCCCGCTGCTCCCCTCAGCAGTGTATTTTGTCAGTCTGCCTGTTCTGTTCCCTGCTCTGGTGAATTCTCTCACCCTCCTGCGCTTCTGACTGTACCCAGTGCTTGTATAAGTAAATAAATCTTTAAAAAAAATTGTTTCATAAGTCTTACCATAGATGATGTTAATTTTATTATATTTTAAGAAACAGATGTTCTCTTGAGTTTATTTTGCTATTTTGTTAATTTTTGTTTCTATATTACATGTCTTAACTTTCTTCATTTTATTTTTTGTCCATTCTATAATATATGCAGATAGATACTTATTATATTAGTTTTTTTTCTTTTAAAAGATTTATTTATTTATTTATACATGCACTGGGTACAGTCAGAAGCGCGGGAGGGTGAGAGAATTCACCAGAGCCAGAGAGGAGAGCAGAGCAGGCAGAGTAACGAAGTACACTGCTGAGGGGAGCAGCGGGCGGCAGGAGAGGTCTGCGCACCATGTGGGACCCTCGCCAGCGGCCGGAGATGGAACCGGCGCTGCAGAGGCTGCGGGCACCTTCGCAGCCCAGCGCTCAATCGCTGCGCCACCGGGGAGGCCCTATATTAGTTTTAACCTCTGTTCTAGTATATGCTTTTGAAAATGTAAGTATTCCTCTAAATACTGCTTCAGTACATTAAACAAGTTTTGCCATGTAGCATTTTACTATCATTTATTTCAAAACTTTATTTTCTATAATGCCTACTGATATTAGACTATTTAGAAAACTACCTTTTATTCACTAAATGAGGATTTTTCTAATTAGGTTTTTGTTTATGATATCAAACAATGATTTATGGTCAGGAAAACTCTAACATTTTAATCTTTTAACATTTTTCACAACTTCATTGACCTTATACAATATTAATTTTGGGCAACTAATTTCTTAGATGTGTGTCCAAAAAATTACTGTATTTTTGATGGGTGATATATATATATATATATATATATATATATATATATACACACACACACGTATATAGAATGTACTCTCTCACTATATATATAGAATGTACTTAATAAAGATGCACTTCATTAAGTGTGTTCAGACTTTCTGTACCTTTTTCAATTGTTAACATATTGTTTAGTAAAAAAAATTCACTTATTTTAGCTTTGCCTATCTCTGTTTTCAATTTTGGAAGTTATATTTTAGGTGTATATAAATATATTACTTCTGCAAAATTGGAGAAATATTATGAAGTGAACTTTTTAAAGATTATACCTTATAATCTATTTTGTCAAATATTAATGGAGCTCTTTAGCTTCATTTCTGCCTTTCTCTTCCATCCCTTTATCCAAATTTTGTATACCCTTATATTTTAGAATGTCTCTGTATAAACAATTTAAAGCTACTGTGCTTGCTATAGCAATTACTGATTTTAAACAATATTCAGCTGAACAAGTGATAAAAATTAATCAACAATGTAGAGCTGGACAAGGTATAAATCAGGTTGGCATTTGCTATAGCATTGGTGTCTCTGTAGGATTACAACTGCATGCTTCTTCAGTAGTTGGGTTTCCCAAATGCTAAGCCTTAGAGATCTTATCTGAATTTGTTCAACTCTAGTGATAAACAGATGGCTAGAGGTGAGTAAATGATTTTGTAATATTCTGATTAGAGTTTTCTGTCTGTGTCTTATAGGTGCTTGCTAAGAAAAGTGAGTTAAACAAAATCACCATTCCTGGAGTAGATTAGCATGAAGAATGAGAAGGAACAGCAGCAGCAGGAGAACAAGAGAGGAATCAGATGGTTGCCCTTTAACACACTATGTTCAGGAGATCCCTTCCAAGAGGAATATAGCAAGAGTAAATAAACAGTCTGTTGGATATATTGTAAATATATACACAGATTATATAAAGTAATTTATTAGATGATCATGTTTATTCTTAGGTCCAAAACATATTGTTTTATGAGCTACAATGCTTTCCCGTATCTCAGGATGCATTTGCCAACCACATGCATAATAAATGATGTTGGTAAGTAATTCAGGACGGAAAGTTTAGAAATGTTATAAAAAATAGATCACTGAACTGTAGAGTATTTTACTTATTTTTATTTTCATATTTTTTTAATTTATTCTTAAACCATTGAAGCAGAAAACTCCATGTATAAGGAAGGTAGTTAAGCTTTATGTATGTCAACTTTGTAGACTTTATCTTCTGGAGACCTCCCTGAAAGACCTTTGGCTTCAGTAAGAAGCCATACCTGGAGAACAACTATTCCTTTAAGTGTTCTTAGGAATATTTCTTTGGTTTTTGGCTAGAATTTTAATCAAATGGTGATGTTTTAGTTCAATAAATTGTATGTCAAAGATTCAATTAAGAATCCAAATCATCTGAGATGTCAGTTAAAAGGCAGATTAATCCTGAAGAATGGAGGCCTTATACACTGCTAGTGGTGCAATCCTTATGGAAAAAGAGTAGAAAGTCCTCAAAATATTAAAAATGGTAATTCTGTCTGATCCACATATCCCACTTATGGGTATTGCCTACAAAATTCAAAAACAATAATTCAAAGAGGTGTATGTCCCCCTGTGCTTACTGCAGCATTATTTTTAATAGCCAACAGTTGGAAACAAATTAAGTGCCTATGGACAGGTAATTAATTGGATAAAGAAGGTGTAGTTGATATGCATGATGGAATGCTACTCAGCTATGAAATTATATTAAAATCCTACCATTGCTACAGCATAAGTGGACCTAAAAAGTATTATGCTTGGTGATATAAGTCATGCAAACACTGTAGGAGTTCACTCAAAAGGGATGTAGAGAAATAAAAGATTGAACTAAATAAAAGATTGAGCTAAATAAAACAAAATAAACATTTAGGGTGAAGGTGGGTAAATTAGGTAAAAGGTACAATGCTACGGTTACAGATAGAACTTTTAATGATGAACTTAATATAGGATATACCCAAGTTGATATATAATGATGAATATCTGAAACATTATAATGCAATGTTACTTCAATTAAACAGTGCATTAGAGAAAGAATCCACTCCGAAAGAGAGTAGTTATGTGAACGTGATGATCATTTCAGGCAGATTATGCAAAGAATTGTTTTGTTCTCATCATGTGGTCATTCATTCTAAATCATAAGTGATACTCAGAATGGTATTTTGAAGAGGAAAATGTGTAGAGACTGCTTCTCATGTGATTATTGATCCCCCTTAGAAATGCTGAGTAGAGATGAAAATCAGAGTCAGTGTTATTAACATGACTTTTATGATTTTAGGGCATCTCCTATGTGACTGAGCCCGATTGAGCCTTAATATCCGTTTGGAGGAAACTTAGTAAGGAGACATAGTGAAGTAAGTAAATTCCAGTAAAAGAATTTAGATAATCTTTAAAGTGCAATACAAATTTTAACAAGAGATAACAGTCATTAAAAATAGAACAAGTACATTATTTGGATGCAAATGAATTCAGCTAACAAGGAAATTAGAAAATGCATACTAGATAAAAGAGAAATCAAGACCATAAATCACTGAGCCAAAGGTAGCAGGAAATCAGTGTGAAACACAATTCCTTACAAAATTCATGAAACCTTCCCTAGGGCACTGAATATTCCATAACATTGTCACAAGTACTTGGAACATTTACATCTAAATTTCAAATCATAAGTTTACCTCATCTATTTGTGTAAAGTAATTTAAATTGGGGTTATCCTAGATGTTTCCCTAAAATTCTACTAGTTCAGATTGCAAAATGCTTTGTTTTTGAATTTGATAATTTGTAGGATGAATGGGTTTAAAAATGGTGAATTAGTAAGTGAAATGAGGCTATCTGAGCATTCAACAGGTCAATGACCTTTTCAAAACATGTTTATATTAAGTGACTTTTGTTCCCATTCATAAATGCCAAAAAAACCCATATCTCATTCACAATAGTGCTAAAAAGAAGACAATGTTCTGCAACTTATTTAAACATTGCTGTAATAAGTATGCAAACAGTTGAAACCATGTTCTTAGGTATTTGGGGAATTAAATTATTCATGAAAAAATTGTGATAAAGATAAAAGAAACCAGTGTCTCAGAGACTTTCCAGGGTTAGAGATTATCAATGAGTTTCATAGGGTGTTTTGGGCAGTTTTGATTAAAATATTCTTGTAATTACTTTGCATAAACATTATATTGTAAGTCCTCAGTTAACACTGTGGATTAGATCTTTAGAACTATAAGTGTTAAACATCAAATTAAAGCAGATCCTTGAGGGCCTCCCCGGTGGCGCAGCGGTTGCGCGCTGGGTTGCGGCGCTGCCTGAAGACTCTGCAGCGCCGGTTCAATCCCCGGCCACCGCCACCCGCTGCTCCCCTCAGCAGTGTACTTCGGTCCTTCTGCCTGCTCTACTCCCCACTCTGGCTCTGGTGAATTCTCTCCCCCTCCCGCGCTTCTGACTGTACCCAGTACTTGTCTAAATAAATAAATAAATCTTAAAAAAAAAAAACAGATCCTTGAATATTCAACTTTGATTTGTTGAACATTGTTTGAGGGTTTATATATATATATACATATATATATATATATATATACATGATAGCAAGCAAAACACTACTTGGTGAAATGACATTATTCAAAGACCTGCCATAACTTTACCTGCATTTCTCACCACAGTTTGAATCCTGAAGGAGTAAAAACTGTTTAAATTATCCCAATGACATCTCAGATTTTTATCAAATACATTCATCCTTATGGTCATTATACATATGTCTGATGGTCTCCTGAAAAGCATTTTTATTTAATTTAAATTTATTTTTAAATGAAGTATTTTTTTACATTGTTTTTAATTTTTGGACAGTATATGATTTCTCCCCTCAGGTGTTTAGTTTCCCACCACCAAAGCACTCACAGTTCCTCACTATAGTCCCTTGTGCTCTTCCTTCCCTATTTTCACACACCCTCCTCTTTCCTTCTGAATACCTCAGCTTAATGGTCAGCTTTCAAGGTTTGTTTTTGTCTGACCCTTTATTTAGTTTCTCTATAGTCCACATATAAGTGAAACCATCTGATATTTGTAATTCTCACTTATTTCACTAAGCATAATCCCTTCCAGCTCCATGTTGCTGCAAATGGCATGAGTTTATCTTTTATTATTGCTACTATTCCATTGTGTATATGTACATCTTCCTGATTCAGTCATCTGTTTTGGGACATTTAGGTTGTTCCCATTCGATAACATTTTTAATGCTACTTTGAGTTAATAGTATATGACACTAAAGACTTATATTTTCAAAATATGTCCATATGTAGCACAATGATTGAGAATATATGACTGCTACTTATTTGCAAATTACTTTGCAAAAATCCAGTGAGTTCAGCATCAACCTGTTGCACCATTCAACTGGGGTGGCCTTCACTACGCATCTTATATGAGTGGAAACCACATAGTCACACAACATGCTTGATTTTGAATTACATTCACAGTTTTCCAAAAGGTTTGTAGAACCCATTAGTTATACAACACATTTTTTGGATTTAATATTTTTTTTCAGTCACTGTTATAATACAGTTTTCTGAAAGAAAACATTATTAATCTAGAAAGTCTTTCTTTCTTGGTAGATATGATTTCTGCTAGCCAACATGAAGGATGTTTTAAGAACCCTCAGTGTGTATCTGGATTCTTTCATATGCATCCTTTCCAGAAACATGTTGACTAGAGTCCCAGCACGTCTGCACTGTCCATGAGTATACAATCTCCCTATGGGACTGTGATAAAGTTATTTACTTTGTAGCATTGGCTTAAGGAGATATTAACAAAGCATTTTTAAAAATTTTCCTTGGACACATAGTTAGCAATAACACACAGCACACTAGCAACAGATAAGTCTTTTAGAAGGTTTCCTACCAGCAAAAAAATTGCTTATGGAGAAATAAATATTAAAACCCACTTGCAGTTTGAGTTTGTGAAAACTCAGTGTCCAAAACAGATAATGTGATTTCTAAGTAAACTGACCATCTGAGGAATATTTTCACACATTTTCATTCTATGAGAAACATGATTTTAGGACAAATAGGGAAAGCTAGGGAATAATCCTTTAAGCAGACACGCTATCCTATAAACTTGCCCTTGTGAAAAACTACCCATGAGCATATTTAAGGGCTTATTGTTCTGTTTTCTGTGTATATGAGGTATGATCATACATCTGGGGAATGAGTTATGAAATGGAAAATGTTCTCTGGCCTGAGACTACAGACAGAGCTGTTCCGGTGTTACTTTGGCTTGGTGACAACATTTAAAAATTCTTCTTAGTGCAGCCAGAGTTGAGAGTCTCAACTTCTCTCAAACAATAAGGTAAAAATGATCCCAAGTTGGACATCTTGCTTCTTTGATTTTATAATTTTAAGCAAGAAACCACAACACTAAGTTATGTATTCAATTACACAATAATTTGAAGCATCCTTTCCTAATTTGTTTTTTTTTTTATTTGCTTTCAAATGTTATTCACTGTCTAGCTAAACAAACAAGTAAAACACATGTGAATGCTTGTATCACTGCTCAAAAAACATAGATGAGTAGCACTGAAATAAATGCCAGTTTTTTCCTTGATTCCAGGTTTGTTGCTTGTAAACACCAAAGGATTGAAAGAGTGTGATTTTCTTATGATACTATGTATTTGTTCAAAAGATGATTTCTCCAGTTGTCAACATATTTAATCTAATTTCCTAAACTTTGTTTTCAGACTGGGCAGATTGCACAAATAATGATGGGATCTTAGCATAAATCTATTAATTTTCTCCTAATTCACTTCATTAGAAGGAGAAAAACCTGCATGACTACTGCTGGTGGGAATGTAGACTGATCCCGCGACTCAGGAAAACAGTATGGCGATATCTTAAAATACTTAAAAATTAGCTACGATAAGACCCAGCAATTCCATGTCTAGGTATCTCCCTCAAGAATGCAGAAACACTAATTCAAAGGGATGTATGTACACATATGTTCACTGCAGAATTATTTAGTTTACCCATGCTATGGAATTAGCCAACATGCTAATGGGTGAGTGAATTTGGAAGATATGGTATATATATATGCACTATGAAATATTACATAGCTACATAAAAAAAAGGATAAACTCTTGCCATTTGCAACATGATTGTAACCAGAGAGGTTTATGCTTAAGCAAAGTAAGCTAGAAGGAAAAAGACAAAAACCAGATGGTGACTTATATGTGGAATATAGAGAAAAAAATAACAAACCCTAGAAATCTGATTATAAAATTGAACCTACCAGGAGAGGAGCTGGGAGTGGAAAGCAGGTGTGGAGGGGGCCAAGGAAAAACAGAGGAGGACTATGTGTGCCTTGGGGGTGGGGGTGTGTGTGGTAACATTCATCTGAAGGGTATAACCCTATACTCTGAATCATATACAACATTTTAAGTCAATGTCCTCTCTCTTTCTCTCTTTGTCTCTCTCTCCCTCTCTATTACACATACATATATACAACAAAATTTCAGCAGAGGTAACAGACACCTTTCCAATGAAGACACTCAAATAGCCAAAAAAGTTTATGAAAAGGTATTCAGCATTACTAATCAACATGAAAATGCCAACCAAAGCCACATGAGATATCACCTCACACCTACGAGGATGGCTAACATCAAAAATATAAAAGGTAACAAAGTGAGGGGGAGCGTATGGAATAAATGAAGTCTAGTGCACCGTTGTTTGGAATGTGTATTGATGTAGTCACTATGGAAAGCAATACAGAGTTTCCTCCAAAGATTAAAAATAGAACCAACATATCAACCAGCAAGCCCACTTCTGGGCAGATAGCCAAAGGAAATGAAATTGGTTTCTTAAAGCTGTATCTGCACTTCCATGTTCATTGTAGTATTATTCACAGTAGCTAAGATCTGAAAACAATCCAAGTGTGTCCACAGACAGATGAATGGATAAAGTCTCACATATACACTCACACACACAGAGGAATATAATTCAGTCATAAAGAAAAAGGAAATCCTGTCATTTGCAACAACAGAAATTGACAGTTTTACAAGCATGGAGAATTAAGTTAAAATCCGAATGATCTGACAGTACTGTAGGTACATTATTATATAGAAAATTTATTCTTTTCTCTTAAGTAGAAGTTGTAAATGAGCTTATGTTTCTGGTTGCAAATTAAATTTGTGATCTTGCAAAATCAGAAAGGAGGCAGTATTATTTTTAATTCACTGTACCTCACGAGGTATCTAAAATGTCTCTAACTTTTGTAGACCTTGTAATCTGCATTGTCAAAAAATGTGGTCATTATACTTTCTTGTATAGTTTTTGGTGATGGCCACTTCCTACCTCCCTCACTGTGTTTACAGTAAAGGCACTGTTTGTGTACAGCGGAAGACCATCAGAATCTCCCTACTTAATGGAGTTTAGTCTAGAACTGCTTGCTGTAAACAAAAATGAGAAAAGGATACTTGCTTTACTCAGGAATGTGGTCTAGTGTCTGAGTTCTGGCTTTATGAGGTTAGTATGCTTTTTCAAATGCATCTCAATTTTGTAAAAACCAGCTCTAGCTATCTTTAAGCCAGTTTCTTACGTGTGATAGCTCATTGTTAGCTAGTATATAAATTTGAATTTGATTTCTCATCAATATATATACAAATATATATTTCAGTATTGTCGCAGCAATGGAAAATACAAATTTGCTTCTTTTATTGAAAACTTGAATTCTAATCAATTGCATATATATCATAAACTTGTCATAGGCCAAGCACTCTCATAGGTGATGTGGAAATCTGACTGAGCTAAATAATAGAGATGGGGTGTTAGGGGAAATAAGGGCAGTAGTGGCAGTTTGACTTTCACCCAAACTTCATTTTCTTTTTTTAAATTTAATTGTTTAAATATATTTTTACATCATTTTTCATTTTTGCTCAATGTATGCATTTTCATCTTGGTTATAGTCCCCATACAATTCCCACCACCCTTGTTTCGATCCTACTTCCTTCCCTCTCCTCGCGCTCCCCCCGCCACCCTGAGTAGTGTGGCTCTGGTTTATAGTTGCTTGTTGATTTTGATTTTTACTTTATTATAATTAGTCTTTTTCCTGGTCCCTTATTTAGGTTTTCTAAATTCCTGCTATGAGTGAGACCATCTGTTATTTTTCTTTTTCTTTCTGGCTTATTTTGCTGAGTATGATCCTTCTTTTTTTCTTTCTTTTCCATTTTTCTTAATTTTTATGTGCCAATCATTTATATAACTATGTGATTTTAGGAGTATAGCCTCACACCTCCTTGTACACATACTTCCTCACCCTTTACCAAAGCTCCAGGCATACCTAGTTTTAAAAGAGATTTTGTTCTCTGGCATAGAATAAGAAGACATGGCATATTTGCTCTCCAGGTAATAAAAGAGCTGCCTGCAGCAAATGATGCATAAGCCAAGTTGTATGATAAAGGGAGTGCCAAGTAAATGCCATGAAGATAAGAAAAGCGTAGAAATTTAAAGGACAAGGACTTGGATCTGGGGGGTGTCTTTATCTGAGTTGTGTGAGTTGAGCTGCTATTATTTTATATGAAATGAATAATGGGAAAGTCTAGGTATATGAATACATTTGGAGTGTTTAAGATGCCAGGAACTGAGGGACTTCTTATGTGAATGTGAGTAGTAGTGAACACAGCAATTGAACAGGCATTCTGAGTACCCTGAACTTTCCTCAAACAAAGCAGTAATGCTGAATACTCTTAATATTAACTACCAATTATTGAAAATTCACTGTTTTTGAATTTTGTCATGCCATTTATGAATATTCCCTAATTTTTTCCAAAATGTTTAAATTATATGGATAAAAGTAATTTCACTTTTGGGCCTCCCCGGTGGCACAGCAGTTGAGCGCTGGGTTGCGAAGCTGCCCGCAGCCTCTGCGGCGCCAGTTCGATCCCCGGCTGCTCCCGGGCCGCCGGAGGAGGGTCCCACATGGCGCGCAGACCTCTCCTGCCGCCCGCTGCTCCCCTCAGCAGTGTACTTCGGTCCTTCTGCCTGCTCTGCTCCCCGCTCTGGCTCTGGTGAATTCTCTCACCCTCCCGCGCTTCTGACTGTACCCAGTGCATGTATCAACAAACAAACAAATAAATAAATAAATGAAAAACATGCCTCTATAAAAAAAAAAAAAGTCCCGTTTTAAAAAAAAAAAATAAAAAAAAAAGTAATTTCAGTTTTATGAAGTTATATTGTGATAAAGAAATAAAACGTAAAGCATATATACTCAGAGTGTCTGGTGGTTGGTTAAATTATTTTCCTCTCTATTATCCTCTCTTTAATGCCTGCTTAAACTTCGTAAATATACACCACGTTCTAGATACTGAGCTGAAACTCAAGAGAGTAAGTTGCTAAACTAGGATTCGAGTGAATTTGTCTGCTAAGGTTATATTCTTCTATGGAAGGAAATTTCTAAAAGTAATAGGTTTGTCACCTACAAAGCGACAGTCTGCAAGTGCTTTTATGCAAAAAGGCAACACTGGTTACAGCCACACTAGATTCCAGGTATACAGCAGTCTGATTCAACATCTGTATATGCTACATTACGTTCTTCACCAAAAGCCTAGTCTTCATTTACCTGCATACACTAAGAGAATAGACACTGAGGAATTGAAATGCTGACTTGTCCACAGTCACAGAGTAGAAAGTGGCTAAATTTTGGTGGATTCTTCCCCAAAATAACCTTTTACACTTCTGCTCTCAGTGTTGCCAGATGGCAGGCACTAAGGTAAGACAATGCTTGCTCATGCACTACTTTCCTGCTACTACTCTGCAACTCCTTTCAATTTTCTTGCCTTTCCATGTTACTCGATATAGAGAAAAACTAAAGTGTAAAAAAAAAACCAAAAACTATTAACTAGATAAAAGCATGCTTGTTTCTATCTCCAACTCTACTGACATAACAAAAATATGCAGATTAAGTTGTATAAATCATACAGTTCATTCATGAAGAACAACTCTGCAAGGAGCTGTTAAGATAGAAGACAGTTGAAAAATGATTGGACTCTTGAAAAGTAATTAATCCTGCTCTCTGACATGACATAATGATGAGAAAAACCACACAATTAAAGCAAGGCCCTATTATTGTCGCTTAGTAGAGAGTATGGCATTTCACCTACCTCCTAAATCATAAGAAACTCAATTTTTACTCTATTATATATTTTCTCAATAACCATACTTTTGACTTTCAGCCACTATCAGGAATGCATATTTGAAAGAAATATCACCTGACTTAAACATTCTGAGAGAAGGATAATAAGTAGCAAAATTATTCAGTAGATAGCTATTTATGAATGGCTACACTTAACCTCGGAGAATGTCTAATAATTACAGGATCTAATATTTGGGTGGCCCCTGTGAGGTGCAGTTTATGAAGGAATTACTGAATTTTCATGTCTTCTACAATTGAATATGAATTGAAGGGGATTATGAGATGGACAAGCAGTAAACATACATGTCTTAAATCTTAAGCAATTTACTGGATGTTTTATTTCAGGAAAGTCAATTTGTCCATTTGTAAAAGGAAAAAACACGAAAATTTGTGCTTTTTTTACTATCATTGAGTTGGTATGAGCTTACATTAGAAAGTTAGGAAAAACTTTTTGAAAACCCTAAAGCTATAAAAATATAGAGTTTCTAAAATTTTACCAATCATAATAGTTAACAATGTCACTTCATATTCTTTTTGCTCCTTTTATGTTATTTGAGAGAATATAGTATTTCAAATCTGAGGCTCCTACATAAAGTTGCAGAGAAGAGAACTGCTGGAAATATTGAACACACACCGTCTTTCATATCACTATACTAACTTTTATTAACCAGTCTTGAAAATTTTTCACATCCATGTAATTTTTGTTAGAACACAAGAAACACTGGAGAATGTGCTAATGTGGAAAGTGAACAATTATTCTTGATCAGAAGAAGGAAAAAATGGATCTCTTTAGTTCTCATTTCTTATCTATTTTCATAGGTGAAATAGAAATGTGATAGGAATTAAATGAATATTGAAATAAATATTATTTGAAGCCACAAATTGGTAGAAAGGGCACTAAACTCAAGGTATCTTCCTCAAAACCTTGCAAAGTTTTAGGTTACACACATGAAAATAAGATAGAGAAGTCATTCAGAATCTCTCAATTCAAGGAAATATATTTATAAATAATGAAATAATTGCCTAAAATGTTACTGGATAATGTGATAGTGGAATAAAGTGATAAGAGTGCTTTTCTCCTCCAGGGGATGGAGAAGGGGGTGTCACAGTCTCACTAAAGAGGTGACCTTGGAACTGCCAGAGGTTGATGTTACATATTAGAAAAGAGAATAACAGGGCCTCCCAGGTGGTGCAAGGCGTTAAGTTGCAGCAAGGCACGAGTTGGATCCCAGCCGGCCAGGGAGGTGACCCACATGGCACAGCAGACCTCTCCTCTCTCGCCTGCTGCTCCTCTCAGCAGTGTTTCAGTCAAACTGCTAGTAGTGTTCCCCACTCTGTCTCTGGTGAATCCTCTCACC